GCGAGATCCAGACGCTACGCGCTCTACTGCTCACGTGTGAGCAATTCGACGATGCCAGCCGTGACCAAGTTTCCCACCAAGAGTGACAAGGCCATCATTTCTCGCTTGTTCCCGAGGTGAGGGCGGCGTGGACACGGGCGAACGGCTCCAGGCTTCAGGCTGGCCGTCACCTTGGGGAAGGTCCAGCCTTCGAGCCTTTCGTCGATCGTTGCCTGTGTTGGAAGTACTAGCCTCTCTGGCGGCGTATCCACGATGGTGTTCACGGTTGATACCGAGAAAGGTTTCATAGGCCAGTGCGCATGTAATACGCCACAATAGAATATGTCACTACCCATATCCAGTCGTCCACCCATCTTGCGCATGGTTTTCATACCAAGTAAGATTGTGTTGTAAGAGAGGCCTTCATTAAGGCCTTCGGCCACCTCTACCGACAGCGAGAAGGCGTGGCGAACTCCGTGAACGTCTTCCACCGTTAACCGCACTGAGGCATGTCCCAGGACATTTATAGTTCCGCAAGACCCAGCGGACCGTAGCGCCCTTGATCCCACCAGGGGATATACCTCGACCCCCAATGCCTCAGCAAGGCGGGAGGACAACAAGGTTACATCCGACCCGGTGTCGATCAGTAGCTCGAGTCGACGGGCCGTCCCCGGCGAACCTTCAACCGAGGCCTCGATGACCCGTAGGTTAGTTCCACATGTGGTGCTGTTGGCGGCCGTGACCATGAAGGCCGCCTCGGTTGGAGAAGCCCTCGGTCCCCCAGCCGCTTGCTCCTTCAGGGGCTTCTCGCCTTGGCCGGTGACCTTAATGGCCCGTCGCTGACGGTACCACTCCGGCACAAGGTGAGCATTAGCTGGGTTCTTCCAACAGCTTGCATCATCATGCTTCTCAGCACCCCTCAGCTTCATCGTCGAGCAGTAATCGCAACGTGGCTTCGCAGACGCTCTTCCCGCTTCTGCACCTCTGGTAGCCGCAACAGTGTTGCCCGCGATCTCACCTTCAGTTTCAGTAGGCCGACGCCTGTTCTGGCCCCCATCGTAGTTGGGTGCCTGTGCAGGTGTCTTCTTATTCGCCACCTCCGGGTGTCCCGCCGACTGTAAGAGTCGCGCCTCGTGGTACAGGCATGCATCTCGCGCTTCCTCGAGCGTCATCTTCACCAACTGATGACCGCAGCTGGTTTCAAGAGGCAGTTTGATGTGAGGCTGCAGGCCGTTGATGAACTTGGCGCACACGATGGTTAACGGCAACTGTGTCCCGACCACCCGTCCGAAGAGGAGCCACTCCGCTTTCACCCGGGAGTAATAGTCAGCAACCCGTTCACCGGCTCTCTGTCTCAGGCTCTCCCACCTCTGGCCCGCCT